AGGTGGGAGAATCACTTAAACCCAGGAAGTGGAGGTTGCTGTGAGCCGAGATCGTGCCATTGCACTCCAGCCTGGGCAACAAGAGCAAAACGGTCTCAAAAAAAGAAAGAAAGAAAAAAACCAGCGAAAGCCCAGCTTGAGCAGCCAATGGCACAAGGACGTCACTGTAACTGACAGATACGCCTGCTCTGCTGCTGGGCCTGATCTTGTGTGGGGAGTTCTGATCAGTAGCAGGCACTATTTTGAAGCACCGAGTCTGGTTTCTGTCCTCTTGCTGTCACGTGACAGAAAATTCCTCTCTCATGCCATCCTTGGAAAAGTCCTTTCTTCAAAAAGATCTCCCTTCCATAGTCCTCTCATTAGAATCCTTTGCACTCTGTACAAAAAGACAAACATTCTGATAAGTCCATCAACATCAGGCAGAGTTGTTGGAGACCCAAGGAGATGGGCTACAGAAGTCTTTATACACACACCGGGTGGTACTCACTGTCTCTCAGCACCAAATTCACTTACTGGTACTTGGCTCTGTTGTGCCAGGGCTGGGAGCTGTGTATTTCTCGCATTCTGTCTCCAGCTGACCTTCTGACCATGGGCAGCACCAGTAAGACCCTGAGACTACCTTCTGTCTCCAGTGCCTGTCAGCGACTCTCCGGCGACAGGCAACGGCGCCAGCTCCAGACTCCAGCTGCTCTGGGCCTCCCAGCATCAGCCACACCATGCCCTTCAGAAGTCCCACCACTGGCCGGGCACAGTGGCTCACACCTGTAATCCTAGCACTTTAGGAGGCTGAGGCGGGTGGATTGCCTGAGCTCAGGAATTCAAGACCAGTCTGGGCAACATGGTGAAATCCCGTCTACACTAAAATACAAAAAATTAGCCGGGCATGGCAGTGTGCGCCTGTAATCCCAGCTACTCGGGAGGCTGAGACAGGAGAATCGCTTGAACCTGGGAGGCGGAGGTTGCAGTGAGCTGAGATGGAGCCACTGCACTTCAGCCTGGGCGACAGAGCGAGACTCCATCTCAAAAAAAAAGTCCCAACACCAGCTGGGGCAGAGGGCGGAGAGGGGGGGCCCTGAAAGTTTCTGGTTTCTCGTAGCCCACCCCTTCCTTTTTGTCCTCCAGTTTAAAGAATGGCAGCTGCTCTTTGTGGTTGGTTGCTAATCTCTGGGTTATCTCAGCAGCCCTTACATGCTGTTTCAGCTTCGTCTGGGTAAACATTTCCTGGTATTAATTTTGACAAACCTGCCATGCTTTCCGTTTTCTGAATGGACCCTAACTGTATATGTGATTGTATTTATTTACCCATATATGTATTTATAGTTATGCCTTGCTTCATTATGGGAATACATTCTGAGAAATGTGACAATTGATTTTGTGGTTGTACAAAAATTTTAGCTTGTACTTACACCAAGATGGTGCAGCCTACTATACACTTAGGCTAGATGGGATAGCCTATTGCTTCTAGGCTACAAACCTGTACAGCACGTTACTGTCCTGAATACCATAGGCAATTGTAACACAATGGTAAGTATTTGTGTATCTAAACAGAAAAATACATAACAAATAAAGTATAAAAGATAAAAAATGGTACACCTGTGTAGGCCACTTATCCATGGAATTTGTTCTGGGTGAGTCAGTGAGTGAATGGTGAGTGAATGTGAAGGCCTAGGACAGTACTGGACAATATACTGTACACTTAGGCTGCACTAAAGTTATGAGCAAATACTTTTCTTCGATAATAAATTAACCTTAGCTCACTGTAACTTTCCTACTTTATGAACTTTTCCATTTATAAAATACTTTTTGACTCTTTGTAATAATAGCTTAAAACACATACATTGTACAGCTGTATAAATATATTTTCTTTATATCCCCTTTTCCATAAGCTTTTTTCTATTTTTACATTTTTTTACTTTAAAATTTTACTTTTCAATTTGTTTGTTAAAAACGAAGACACAAACACATTATCCTAGGTCTATACAGGGTCCGGATCATCAATACTTTCCACCTCCGCATCTTGTCCCACTGGAAGGTCTGCAGGGGCAGTCATATACATGAAGCTGCCATCTCCTCAGATAGCAATACCTTCGTCTGGAAAATCTCCTGAAGCACCTGAGGTTTTTTTTACCAGTTAACTTTTTTTTTTTAATAAGTAGAAAGAATATACACTAAAATAATGATAAAAGTACAGACAGTAAATACATAAACCACTAACAGTCGTTTATTATCATTATCAAGTATTAGGTACTGCACATAATTGTATGTGGTAGATTTTTACACAAGTGGCAGTGCAGTGGGTTTGTTTACATCAGCATCACCACAAATGTGGGTAATGCCTGTCACTCTGACATTATGATGGCTATGATGTCACTAGGCAATAGGAACTTTTTAGCTCCATTATAATTTTATGGGACCTTCGTTGTATATGGGGTCTGTCGTTTACTGAAATGTTGTTATGTGGTGATAACTGTATTTATATATATGTGACCAGTGTTTAAAAAAATCAGAAGATATTTTCAACAAAAGCATAGTAATACGACCAAAAATCATTAACACAAAACAAAAGGAAAAAAAAAGTTTGAGACCAGCCTGGGCAATGCAGGCAAGACCCTGTTTCTACAAAATAGCAATAATAGTAATAATAATAAATTAGCCAGGCATGGTGTGGCATGCTTGTAGTCCTAGCTACTCAGGAGCCTGAGGCAGGAGGATTATTTGAGCCCAGGAGTTCAAGGCTGCAGTAAGCTATAATAACACCACTGCACTGCAGCCTGAGTAACAGGGAAACTTGTATCAAAAAATAAAAATAAAAACATAAAAAATAAAATGGATTCAAAAAATAATTTTTGCATATGGTGCGAGGAATAAATAAGTTCATTTAAAAACAAAAAAGTAACCTAGAAAAGGAATGTTAAAAATTTTAAGCTGAGAAAAAATGTACACCTTTAACATCTTTATACAGCTTTTCTACTTTTTACTGGGTGAGGAGATTGAGCTCTTGCCAAGAATGTGGTTATGGCTGGGTGCAGTGGCTTATGCCTGTAATCCCAGCACTTTGGGAAGCTGAGGCAAGAGGATCACCAGAGCCCAGGAGTTCAAGATCAGCCTGGCCAACATAGCGAGACCTCATCTCTACAAAAAATACAAAAATTAGCCAGGCGTGGTGGCACACACCTGTAGTCCTGGTGACTTGGAAGGCTGAGGCAGAAGAATCACTTGAACCCAGCAGTTCAAGGCTGCAGTGAGCTAAGGTCACACCATGGCACCCCAGCCTGGGCGACAAAGTGAGACTGTCAAAAAAAAAAAAAAAAAAAGAATGTAGTTATGCTAAAGATAATGAGTTATATTTCCAAAGCTTCTGCAGAACTTTTGAGCTGCAAAGAAAAAAAGACCAAGAAGTTGGTCCTTTGTTCAGCAGAGTGTCATAGATAGTCTTTAGATAGGCTGACAGGGGCCCGGAGCTTAGTTTCACAGGGAATGGGTTTGCCTATTGCTTTGCATCAGAGATTAGCAAGAATTTTGGAGAATATCTAGGGACCAATAAAGATGAAGCAGAGAGGGCCTAAGGAGGTGCACAGCCAGCAAGTGCCCCCATGTGATCAATGAATTTTAGAATATTGGTACCTAATGTTCAACTGAATTACAACTATAAATCATAATTATAAAAGTAATATAGGCTTGCCATAAAATATTTAAGCAGTTTAAAAGTATTTAGAGTAAAAACACCTTCCCCTCAACCATGTAAAGAGCCAAAGAAATTATACCATATATATTATTCACTAGCTTTCTTTTTTCACTTAACAATGCATCCTTCTAATGTCTAAGTAGTATTCCTTGTTATGAATATAACAATTATACTGTAATATTCTCCAATTGATGGACATTTAGGTTGTTTTGATTTTTAAATTATCATAAAAAACGATGTCCTGTGACTTACCTACTTGTTTGTGAGCACGTAATTCTGTAGGAGAGATTCCTAGAAAGGAAATTGACCAGACACTGACAAATTGCCCCAAGCAGTGTTCTGGGAACCCTCCCGCCTATGCCTAGGGATGCTTCTCCACATCCCCACAGAGTAGATGTCCTCAATCTTTAAAAATGCTCTCCAGTCTGATTGGCAAATCAGGCCACCTCTGTATTTCACATTCCTTGCTTAACAACAAAGCTGAGCATTGTTAATATATTCATTAGTCAATTGTGTTGCTTTTCCTATGGATTGCTTTTTGGTATCTTTGCTTATCATTTCTGTTGGGGTGCTCATTTCTCTTACCAATTTGTAGAAATTCTCAGCTACATCATGGATCTGAACCCCCTGCTATATGTGTCACACAGTTTGGCTTGTCTTTATTTCCATGGCACATCTAGGAAGATGTGAACAGCCACTGTGGCCCCGGTTTTGGGATGGAGAGACAGCTCTTTGGAGAGAGGGCAGCCAAGGTAAAGAAACACAGAAGAGCCATGGAAAGAGGGCATCTGTCTTCAGTCACCTGTGCAGGGTGAGCAGTGATGTGTTGAGAAAAAAGTGTATGATTTGGAGATTAAAAGGCTACAGTTCATCCCCTGCTAGCTATGTGACCGTGGAAAAATGGTCTAACCGCTCCAAGGCTCAGTTTCTTCTATAAAGAGAGGAAGTAATGGTTACTTCATACAGGACTGTTGTGTGAAACAAATGAGTAAATTCATGTAAAGGACTTGCTTCGGGGCCTGACATCCAATCAGTGTTTGAGCAATGAACAGTTTACAGTGTGAACCCAATAAAATCACACACACAGATGCCTTTTGACGATTTTAAAGGGCTATGAACACATACTTAAGTAGCTGTTAGTTTTACACACAATTATCCGTGTCAAGCAATGGACTAGAAGTCTGTGAAACATTCAGCCACTCTCTTAGTTCTGAGTTTGGAGACTGGAATGCTCTCTGAGAGTGTCAGGTGTCCTCCCACGTTCACTGATTGGCAAAGGGGAGATGGGGGCTGGGAAGGGGGAGGCTCACTCGGGAGTCCAGACAGTGGTAGGGACAACCTGAGTGCTCAGTCATAAAGAGGAAAGGCAGAATTTTTCCTTGCTATGGCTGGAACAAAGGCACTTTTGATGCTGGAAAACTTCATAGATGGAAAATTTTTACCTTGTAGCTCATATATAGATTCTTACGACCCATCAACGGGGGAAGTGTATTGCAGAGTGCCAAATAGTGGAAAAGATGAGGTGAGTATATGCACTTAAAGAAGACTGAAATGTGTTTAATATGTTGGGCAATTATGGGTAACAATTTTCTAAAAGCAGAGGCAGTTGGGGGAAGATGTAGGATTGTTAAACATGATAGAAGGAAGATTCGAGTTCTAAGAAGATTTACCTTGTAACTGGACTGTATGATACATAGAACAAATGTCATACTATATTCAGAAGTAGGTCATTTTTGTAGCCAAACTAACACAGCCCCGTGTGCAGTTTTTGTGTGTGTGTAATTCTCAAACATTTCCTAATCAGTTTCTAGTACAAAGTATTATTTGTAAGAGCTATTGCTTTGTTAAATATTCCCTTTTCTCCACCAAGCACTGCTTAAATTTACCACTATATCCATGGAATTAAAAAAAAAAAAAAGTGTAGCATTACTAAAACAAACAAACAAGCAAAAAACTGTGGGCTTTAATTTAGATTGTCTTCTCATAATTTCTCATGTCTTCAAAATACCTAGTAAAATAAAATCAATCATTTGAATGATGAAACTCAAAATCAAATTCCCATATATTTTTGGAGTTAGATTTAACAGCATCTTTTTTCTTATTCAAAGTGTTTAATGGCATATGCATTACATTTTTTTAGCAATGTAGTATTAATTTTACTTGGAGAATTTTGTAAAATATTTGAGATATATTTGATTAGCTATCAATTATTGCACTGAGAATGTAAATATATCTGAAGTAGTAAATGTAGCTGATGTATATATAGTCATCTAATGCCTTATGAATTATAATTTATTATTTTTAAGGCACAAAGAACTAGATTATTTAAAATATAATTATCGCCTTCATATAAAGATACATATTCTATGCAAAGTTTTTTTTGAAGAACACTGCTATTTTTTTTCTCTTTTGTTAATACTTCAAATCTGTCTTGCATTTAAAATAAACCTTTAGACTTAGGGATTAATGTTTGCAAATGTTGGTTAATAGATTGGTTAAATTATAATCTGCAATTTTGTTTGCTTCAAATGACCTAACACAGCTCTGGGAAATCCAGCTTTGTGTTTTCCACTCTTCCTTGTTTGCCAAAGTGAAGTTAAAAATGACAAACATGCCAAATTCAGCTGAAATATTTCCTGCAGTTAACTGCTCATATCTTTTTAGAAAATAGAGTGAGATATGGATGCACTAGCTAGTAGAGTAATAGATATGTTCAATTTCCCAGCAATCCTAATTCCAAATATCCTATTTGATCCCATAAGTCATAGTTTTTTTCTGGCTTGAAAAATATGGTTACCATACAAACCGCATGTCCAATTTCCCAAAGCATCACCCAGAAAAATGTTGCTGGTGCTGCTAACAGTGGCTCCTATTTATTCAGCTTTTGCTATGTGCTTTGCAGTCATTAAGCTCTTTTTAAAAAAATTAAAAAATTAATACATAATAATTGTACATCTTTATGGGCATATGCGACATTTTGATACATGCAGACAGTGTGTCATGCTCAAATCAGGGTAATTAGGATCTCCATCACATTAAACATTTATCATTTCTTGGTTTTGGGAACATTCCAAATCGTTCTTCTAACTATTGTGAAATATACAATAAATTATTGTTAACCATTGTCACTCTACTAGAACTTTTTCCTTTTAATCATATTTTTGTATTAATTAGCCAACCTCTATCCTCTCCTCTACCCTTCCCAGCCGCTGGTAACCATAATTCTACTCTCTACCTCCATGAGATCAACTTTTTTAAGCTTCCACATATGAGTGAGAACATGTAATATTTGTATTTTTGTGCCTGGCTTATTTCACTTAACATAATATCCTTCCGCTCAAATCGTGTTGCTGCAAATGACAGGATTTTGTTCCTTTTATGGCTGAATAATATTCCATTGTGTATATATACCATATTTTCTTTATCCATTCATCTGTTGATAGACATTAGGTTGAGTTCATATCTTGACTATTGTAAATAGTGCTGCAACAAACATGGGGGTACAGGTATCTCTTCAGTATACTGATTTCCTTTTCTTTGGATTAAAAATTCCAGTAGTGAGATTGCTGGATCATATTGTTGTTCTATTTTTAGTTTTTTTGGAGAAACCTTCATATGTTTTCCATAATGGCTGCACTAATTTACTTTCACACCAACAGTGTATGTGTCTTCCCTTTTTTCTGCAGCTTCAACAGCCTTTTTTATTTCTTGTTTTTTAATAATAGCCATTTTAACTGGGATGAGATGATAACTCATCGTAGTTTTGATTTGCATTTCCCTAATAATTAGTGATGTTAAGCATTTTTTTTATACCTATTGGCCATTTGTACGTCTTCTTTTGTGGACTATCTATTTAGATCATTTACCCATTTTTAAGTTGGATTTGTTGGGGAGGGGCAATTGAGTTGTATATGTATACATAAAAGCTCAAGCTCCTTATATATTCTGGTTATTAATACCTTGTCAGATGGATAGTTTGCAAATATTTTCTCCCATTCTGTAGGTTGCCTCTTAACTCTGTTGATTGTTTCCTCTGTTGTGCAGAAGATTTTTAGCTTAATGTTATTTTATTTATTTATTTATTTATTTATTTATTTAATTTTCTTTTGTTGCCTGTGCTTTTGAGGTCTTACCCAAAAAAATCTTTGCCCAAATCAATGTCCTGAAGTATTTACCCTGTGTTTTCTTATAGTAGTTTCAAAGTTTTGAGTCTTAACATCTATCTAAGTCTTTAATCTGTTTTGATTTGATTTGGTGAGAGATAGGGGTCTAGTTTCATTCTTCTGCATATGGTTATCCAGTTTTCCCAGCACCATTTATTGGAAAGACTGTCTTTTCACCAATGCATATTTTTGGCAGCTTTGTAAAAAACGAGTTGGCTGCAAATGCATGGATTTATTTCTGGATTATCTATTCTCTTTCATAAGTCTATGTGTGTGTTTTTACACCAGTGCCATGCTATTTTGGTTACTATAGTTTTATAGTATATTTTAAAGTCTGGTAGTGTACATTCAGTAAGCCCTTTACCATGGATTATCCAAAGAAGCAAGTTATAAGAACCTAGAAGTCTCTATTATGATCCTTATTTTACAGAGGACAGTGCTAACACTCTCATCTCTGATGTTTAGATCCATTGGTATGTGCACATGTGTGCACACACACATTTGCATTATAGCATTGCAGTTATAAGCACATACTAGAGTCAGACTGCCTGGTTCAAAGACAAGTTGCACCACTTGGTATCCATGGCCTTGACTTAGAGCTGAACTTCTGCAAGGCTTAGTCTCCTCATCTATATAATGAGGATAATAATGATATCTACTTTATAGTGTTATTCTGAGGATTAAACAGACTAATATGTGTAAAGCCCTTAGTGCTTGGCATATAGTAAATGCTTTCTATGTATTAGCTTATGCTAATATTGTTATATGTAGTACATTAATGTGTATTCTATATTACATGGACATAAGATGTGCTATAAGGCAACTTAGAAAATATGAGTGGACTTGAATTTTCTGAATAGCAAAAAGATCAGATTTTTACATTGAGTGGGAATTCATGCTCCTCTTGTTGGCTGGCAGTGGGGCTTCCTCATGGCTGCAGCTAGTGGTGGAGGAAACCAAAGCCATTTAGTTTTTGAGGTGAGGCCACCATATTTCTAGAAATTTCTCATTAAGATGAGAATCATTTTAAACCTTACTTCAAATCAGCTAAAAGTGACTGTATTAGTTCGTTCTCACACTGCTATAAAGATACTACCCAAGACTGGGTAATTTATTAAGGAAAGAGATTTAATTGACTCACAGTTTTGCATGGCTGGGGAGGCCTCAGGAAACTTACAATCATGGCCGAAGGGGAAGCAGGCATGTCTGGCGGCAGACGAGACAGCGTGTGAAGCCCAGGAAAAACTATCATTTATAAAACCTTTAGATCTCATGGGAATTCACTCACTATCATGAAAATAGCCTCCACAAACCAATCACTTTCCTCCCTCAACATCTGGGGATTACAATTCAAGATGAGATTTGGGTTGAGAAACAAAACCTAACCATATCAGTCAGTTTGCATGAGGAAAATGAAGGAGGGGTGTGGGTCAGGTTTTGCATGAGGGCTAGCACAGGCTCGGGTGGCTAGATTGCTTTAGGTCAAGTCCTCCAAAAAAGATGCTCACGGCTGCCAGAAGCCTATGGAAAAGGATTCTGAGTCTGAGCCAGGGCCCAGTGGTGGAAGACAGCTGTGATTCTAATAATTTTTCATGCATGTGAGAAAGGAGAGGAGTGAGACACGGGTTAGGGATTTGTCATCTCTGGAGAAGGCATTACTTAGACATTGCTGGAGAGAAGAGAAAGGCAGAAGAGGACTTGAAAATTATTTTGCCTACATCACATTTTGGCCATGAGTTGATCCTGCCCATACCTTCCCATACATATATTGTTTCCTTTTGTATGTAACTCTAAAAGCAAGTACCCAAGTCATCTGTTCAGCCACAAATCTCCTCTTCCCCAGTAAGGCCTCTTCCACTGGGCAGAACCAGGCAGCAGGCAGAGCAACCTGTGATTCTGGGAACCACCAAAATCTGGGTTTGAGTCCTGATTCTGCCACTTATTAGCTGTGTGACCTATGGCAAGTTACTTGAGTTTCTGTGTCTCAGTTTTCTCATCTGTAAATTGGGCATAGAAATACTTATTTTATAGAATTTTAAAAGGACTTAAACAAAATAATTTGTATAAAGTATTTAGCATATTCCCTTATATAAAAATTAATAAATTATGAATATAATTAGTCATTTCAAGTGAAATTGACAATCTGAGGATGTAATTTCACCCAAAATTTCAGACCTTATAAGATATGTCAGAGCTGAGTTAGAAGCTTTAGAGATTCCACATATCTAGATTAATTTTCTTTTTCTGTAATATATATACTATATATATGCACTATATATATAATATGTGTATAACATATACATTTTTTTGAGACAGGGCCTCAGTCTGTCACCTAGGCTGGAGGGCAGTGGCACAATTACAGCTCACTACAGCCTCTACCTCCTGGGCTCAAGTGATCCTCCCACCTCAGCCTCCTGAGTAGCTGGGAGTACAGGCATGCACCACCATGCCCAACTAATTTTTTAAAAAAAACTTTGTGTAGAAACAGGGTCTCACTATGTTGACCAGGCTGGTCTCAAACTCCTGGGCTCAAGAGATCCTCCCAACCCAGCCTCCCAAAGTGCTAATATTACAGGCATGAGCCATCACTCCTGGCCCACAATATTTTTAAAAATTCTAGTTTCTGAAGTGATTGAAAATGTACATCTGTTAAAATTCAAATAGCTTCTTTCTAATGCTCTGATTACCACATTCAGGATGCATTGGTTGAAATGGAGTGTGTTTCTTTGTTTCTGTGGTACCCCTCCTTTGCTGGTCGTGTAAACACCTGTGTCATTTACGTGGTGGGTGGCCCAGCACTGAGGCATGCTGAATATTCAAAATTAGGTGTGGGCCAGGCGCGGTGGCTCACACCTGTAATCCCAGCATTTTAGGAGGCCGAGGTGAGTGGATCACTTGCATTCAGGAGTTTGAGACCAGCCTGGTCAGCATGGTGAAACCTCATTTCCACTAAAAATACAAAATTAGCCATGCCTGTAATCCCAGCTACTCGGGAAGCTGAGGTGGGAGAATCACTTGAACTCCGGAGGCAGAGGTTGCACTCCAGGCTGGGCTACAGAGTGAGAATCCGTCTAAAACAACAACAACAAAAAAATGAGGTGTATGGAGACCTGAGGATTCTGGTTTCGTCCATCCCCTCAGGAGTAACAGCTTTAAGGTGACCCTCTCTCCCATTTGCTCCTCAAAGATCGAAGCCGCGGTCAAGGCCGCCAGAGAAGCCTTTCCCGGCTGGTCATCCCGCAGCCCCCAGGAGCGCTCGCGGGTCCTGAACCAGGTGGCAGATTTGCTGGAGCAGTCCCTGGAGGAGTTTGCCCAGGCCGAGTCTAAAGACCAAGGTGAGAGTTGCCTCTTAACTGTAACATGGGACTCAGGGCATCTCTGATTATTCATGTTACCCCTCCTGGGGCCATCGGGCCAGTCCATATGCCTGCTCCTCTGTCAATAGTAGAAGTGGAGAGCAAACCCTCTCCTGCTTCAGGCCTGGGAAGGCCAGGATTTGCAGCTGGCCCACCCCATCTCATTCAGATGGCCAGAGAAAGTCACATGGCTGGACCCAAAAGCTGAGGGGCAAAGAAATATACTCTGTCCATTGGATGAAAGGAAGTGCAAATATATACAGCAAAGGGCATGGACATAGAGAGATGAAGAACTAGGGCCGATCAGGCAGTCTCCTACTCATTCTAAGCAGAAAATTTCAAAGCAAAGATAATTTGAAAAGCAGTTATGCAGTCAGGTTATTTAGGATGTTTTCTGATATGTCAGTCACAATTCCACCCCCGATACATTTTCTGATTTTTTTTTCCACTCCTTCCCTGAGGTCAGGGTAATGGAGTAAATATCTGTAAATGTTTGCAAGAATATCTGTTAGGATAAGGCGAGAGTTTTAAAAATTATATGTGTGCTATAAACCAAGCCCAAATTAGAAAGCAGCCTGAGTCCAAGCCCTTGAAAAGGAAATAGTTCTCTGTTGGTGTTCCTGGCCAGTCTCCCTACATCGCTAAAGAGAACTCAGTAGCAGTCCAGGGAAGCTTCTGTTTCTCTTTCTACTCCATCCAGGAGCTAGGACATGCAGGGCATGTGATGGGCGAGCAGGTGCCACACAGCATCCCGTGCCAGGGAGTTCCCAGCCGCCCTTCTGATGACTCTACCATGTGTTGGGAGGTCATGAAATACATATTCCATGTGTGTGAAAGTGTTTCGTTTTCTGCTGTGCAAATACAACGGTCCTAACACCCATATTTCAATGCCTTTGTCACAGGTACAAAGCCTGGTGACTGAATTGCAAGAGTTTGTGTGGGTGAAGTGGTAGCATCTGGCAAACTGAGGATGAGAATGATGTGTTCAGTCCACAAAACAAAGATTATTGACTCAATTTTCACCCCCCACTTCAGTTTCCAACCTTATACCGAAATATTTTATGGTTTTATCAAACCATGATCAAATATTTGTGAGGTCAAGAAATGCCTGCCCCAGGCTGGAAGGAATCCAGGTCGTTTCAGTGTGAGTTGGGACACGTGGGCGGTGGAAGCTGACGGATAGAGTGTCCCCATTAGCCGATAGTGCTTTATGTTGTTTGCTTCTTACAGGGAAAACCTTAGCACTGGCAAGAACCATGGACATTCCCCGGTCTGTGCAGAACTTCAGGTTCTTCGCTTCCTCCATCCTGCACCACACGTCAGAGTGCACGCAGATGGACCACCTGGGCTGCATGCACTACACGGTTCGGGCCCCGGTGGGAGTTGGTAGGTGCTGTTCAGTGAGAGCCCGCCTCCTGCTTATGCTTGCAGATGCTCACAACATTCTATGTCATTGTCCTCAAGGAACAGGCTAAGGAAAAGGAAAAGCTGATATTTTTCTTTTACCTAAAATGCATTGGCCTAAAAAATCTATTTCTAGTTTATTTTATTTGTGTCAAAATTCCCTACTTTTGTTTTTTTAAACAGAGTCTCTCTCTGTCGCCCAGGCTGGAGTGCAGTGGCATGATCTCGGCTCACTAGCCACCACACCTAGCTAATTTTTGTATTTTTAGTAGAGACAGGGTTTCACCATGTTGGCCAGGCTAGTCTCGGACTCCTGACCTCAAGTGATCCTCCCACCTTGGCCTCCCCAAGTGCTGGGATTACAGGCATGAGCTACCATGCCAGGCCTCATGTTCTCGAGTTATTCCTGAAACATTATCTTGGAAAATCATAGGGAAAAGAATGATGCTAAGAGTCAATACATAAATTCGCATGCTAGGATTTTTTTTTTCTACTTATATTTAAAAAAGGAAAAACCAGGCTGGGCGCAGTGGCTCACGCCTGCAATCCCAGCACTTTGGGAGGCCAAGATGGGTGTATCATCTGAGGTCAGGAGTTCGAGACCAGCCTGGCTAACATGGCGAAACCCTGTCTCTACTAAAAATGCAAAAAATTAGCTGGATGTGGTGGGGCGCCTGCAATCCCTGCTGCTTGGAAGGCTGAGGCAGAGAGTCATTTGAACCCGGGAGGCTGAGGTTTCAGTGAGCTGAGATCGTGCCATTGTACTCCAGCCTGGGTGACAAGAGTGAGGTTCCATCTGCAACAGCTACTTGGGAGGCTGAGGCAGGAGAGTAGGTTGAACCCGGGAGTCGGAGGTTGCAGTGAGCTGAGATCGGGCCACTGCACTCCAGCCTGGGTGATAGAGCGAGACTCCGTCTCAAAAGAAAAAAAAAAAAAGGAAGAACTATTTATGTACATTACATAAATTAATAAGCGTAGGGCATGTAGTATGGTGCCAGGTGTGTGATAAATAAGCCTCTACTGAGAACTATCTTCATGCATTCCTTTGCCTCTTGACCTTTGGAGGAACGTATAAATAAATGTCTGCGATGACTAAAACTTTCCACTAGATGTCACTGTTTCCTCGAAGAAAAAAACAATCATTTTTTAACTTGTTACATTTTATGAATATAAGTTAAAAGGAAAAAAAAATTGGGACATCTCATTGCTTTGGTTCCTTGAAACCTTCAGAAATTATGTTTTCAAGGCATTGTGGAAAGCTCTACCTCCTCCTAAGAAACGTGCTAATACATTTTGCTGCAAAAATATTTTTATCCCCTAAAGAATGGATTTTTCAATGGGAAATGTAATAATCTAAGAGATGTATTTACTTTCATAGCACAGGCTTGAGGGAAGAGTATAAAATAAGGTGAATCAATTTCCTTTCAGAAGGTAGATTTTTATATTTGTGTGTTTTGTGGTTGGAAACCTGGGTAGTTTCAGAATATTGCATGGAGACACATTCTAGCTGCTGATTACATTATTCATCCAGCAAATCTCTCTGATCAGGATACAAGTGATAATCTAGAAAGAATTTTTATTTAAAAATATTTAGCCAAAATGGATGTCACAGTCTATGTGCCAAAGGTTATTGGCTTTACTGATAGGAGGGCCCTCACAAGGAATACTCCGAACCTATTGGCCCCTATTTTATGAATAATTATAGAAAGCTTGAGATTTTATGTCTCAACCCACAACAGATTTGAAATAAAGGTAAAGAAACGTGTTAGAAGAAATAACAGCCGGACAGTTAAAATAATGAGGAAGGAGACGTTTTTGAAAAAGTAAAGCTCAGTCTATAAATCTCAAAATGCATCACATTCGGGAACTGTTTAGTGATACGTGACAACTGTTTTTTATTTTTTATATTTTTTTGAACTTCCAGGGCACATGTGCAGGATGTGCAGGTTTTTACATAGGTAAATGTGTGCCATGGTGGTTTGCTGCACCTATCAACCCATCACCTAGGTGTTAAACCCAGCATGCATTTGCTCTTTATCTTAATGCTCTTTCCCCGACCTTCCCTGACAGGCCCTCGTGTGTGCTGTTCCTTTCCCTGTGTCCATGTGTTCTAATTGTTCAGCTCCCACTTATAAGTGAAAACATTCAGGTGTTTGGTTTTCTGCTCCTGTGTTAGTTTGCTAAGGATAATGGCTTCTACCTTCATCCATGTGCCTGCAAAGGACATGATCTCGTTCCTTTTTATGGCTGCATAGTATTTCATGTTGTATATGTACTCCATATTCTTTATCCAGTCTATTATTGATGAGCATTTGGGTTGATTCCATGTCTTTGCTATTGCTATTGTGAATAGCAAAGTGCTGCAATGAACATACGCGTGCATGTATCTTTGTAACAGAATGATTTATATTGCTTTGGCTATATGATAGGTGACAACTCTTTAGCTCTGGAGTTTGTATTGCTGTTGTTCATAATCATGAACCATCAAGAAGTGGGTAAATCATATTGACTTTACTTTGTTTTAAAAGGTGCAGTTGCTTGGAATATATTTTAGACTCATTTCCCTGAAGGTGGCTACATATAAGCAAAGCTTGGGAAGAAGTTAGAAGAGTAAGCTAAGTTTCCTACAGCATGAAGGAGTTTTGCGTTAATAACCCCACTTGGCCAGTCCGCCTCAGAGGGGTGTGCTGTCACAGGCAGTGCTTCTGTTCTCATCCCTTAGCTGGTCTAATCAGCCCGTGGAATTTGCCACTCTACTTGCTGACCTGGAAGATAGCTCCAGCGATTGCTGCAGGGAACACTGTGGTGGCCAAACCCAGTGAGCTGACTTCAGTGACGGCGTGGATGTTGTGCACTCTCCTGGATAAAGCAGGTAATTAGGTGTTGGGGTTGCGGGGCAGGCACAGAGTTGGAGCAAAGCTATAGTTTATAGAAATCTTTCACTCAGCAGCACAATTGATTCCAGTGACGCCTTGGGCTTTGTCTTCTGATCCTTGTCTGGGAAATCCCCTCCACCCACAGGGTTCCCTCATCCTGCTTCCTGTCTTCAACGCCAGAGCGGTGCTACTGCAGGCGAGTTCCACTCCCCAGGGTGGGCCACTGGCAGCACAATAGTGACACAGACTTAAACAGCCCCATCAAATCAAAGACACCAGCCTACTCCAGAGAGTCAATTAAAATCTTAAATTGGGGCTCGGTGCGGTGGCTTACGCCTGTAATCCCAGCACTTTGGGAGGCTGAGGCAGGTGGATCATGAGGTCAGGAGATCGAGACCATCCTGGCTGATACGGTAAAACCCCGTCTCTACTAAAAATACAAAAAATTATCCAGGCATGGTGGCGAGCACCTGTAGTACCAGCTATTTGGGAGGCTGAGGCAGGAGAATGGCATGAACCTGGGAGGCAGAGCTTGTAGTGAGCTGAGATTGCACCACTGCACTCCAGCCTGGGTGACAGAGTGAGACTCTGTCTCAAAAAATAAATAAATAAATAAATAAATGATAATAATAAAAAATAAAATCGTAAGTTGGAATCACAAGTTAATCTTGATGACAATAAGAATATTGCTAGGTACACCTATAGTGTGCTTAGCTGTAGAATACCTAGTAGAAGTAACCCGATTTTAAGAGCTCTAAATATACATCCTTCAGTTTTCCCTGCCTTTGGGACCGCTCCTGGAAAGCTAATACAATATGGCCTCTTCCTAGCATATCAAGGTTCACGCGTTTGCTCCTTGTTCTTTTTCTGCTAATAGTTTATTGGCCGCATTCAGGATGCGCTCCTGGTTTTGTTCTGGGGTGTAGCTCCGCACAGGCACAGGCTGGCACTCTTTCAAGGTAGCAGGCGGGAGACCCCAGCAGCCCTCCTGTGAGAAGTCCCCTTAATGTGAGGTCTTTTAGCCACGTCACCCCACAGCCAGGGCAGGAGTGCTGGGTGGTGGGGACAGACTCACCGTCTGTCTAGCTGAGTCTTTCCTTGCTGCCTTTCAGCTCATAGAGGGGCACTGCTGGGCTCTCCTGTATCCACAGAATGCCCGGTGGGTAAGAGCCCATCCCTCTCTCCCTCTTCAGTACACCTTTCTTAGAAGCACAGACAGACACATTAACTTTCAGTAAACCCTAGCCAGTTCTTTAGTCCACGAGGAAGATGATGGCTCAAAACTGAGGCTGTTTAGGGAACGGCACTGGGCCTTCGGATCCCAGGTCCTCCAGAGGAATGAGGCCTCCCAGCCTAGGACTCCGGGTTGTCATCTGTGGAGATCCCAGGCTTCGAGGTGGAGGGAGTGGGGCGGGGCATATAATTTAAAAGTGCCGACCCTTCCCATGTTCCTCCTCTACAAAAGACCCCACAGTCTAATCCCATTCTTTGTGAAATGAAGTCTGTGGTGTCTGCAAAGGCACGACATATTTCTTCCCTGCCTGGTGACTGCAGGTTCCCCAGAGTGGACTAGGCCTGGGGCTTCCCCTCTACTGGGACTTGGAGGCAGGGGTGGCGCCGCAGAATCGTGTTCCCTTAACCACTCTCTCCTGAGACCAAGCACGTCTGGATCAGTGATGAGTTATCTTTCCCAGCCAGTCTGTCCTGAATCTGGCCTGCATGAGAGTTTCTGTTTCCATCTCCGCACAGCATTGATCTTATTTCTTGTGGGCTAATAAGCCCATGAAACTAAGACAGCCCTTCTCCTCTTTCCTCCATGGGCTGAAACTTCCTCCCCTGACAAATACAGCGTGTCATCTTCACCTTGCTCCTCTCTTGAGCCCTCGGTTTCTCCACTGGGATTGGGAGGAATGTGAACCACATCTGTGTCATCTGCTTTAGAATCATGTAAGAGAAGCTCTTAGTGGGGAGGGAAAAGCGAAAATAACTAATTCATTCTGGATGTTTAAAGAGTTAGCTCCTCTAGTCCTGGGCATTTAAACAGACTTGACGGATAACCTTCCTTTGAAATAAACTCATTTTTAAAAGGACACAGTGAATACTTCTGTAGGATTCCTGAAATAGTCATTGTTTCTTGGGGGCACCAAATATTTGCCCTAATTCCTGGAGTGCCCATTGACTGCATTTTCCTGGCCCTTCCCATTAGCTGTGTGGGGTGGTGGGGTGGGGGATGTGTGTGTGTGGGTGTGTGTGTGGGGGGGTAGGGAACGTGTGTGTGTGGGTGTGGGTGTGGGGCAGGGGATGTGTGTGTGTGAGGGGGTGTGTGTGTGCTCTATTTAAGCCTAAAATTCTTCTTGTTGCCACCCTGCCATGCCCCGGCATTTGAGGGGTTTCCTTCTAGTCTGTTCTCGTCTGTTCCTAACTTGTCTGTTAGCCACCTTCCCTGAGTTTTGCTAACTTGTTATTTGTCAATTAAACTGCTTTCCTTCTCTTATCACCAGAATCTCTTCAGGGTTAGAGGGCAGAGATCTTGAGAAAAATTCCATTATTTTCTGGGTAAAACGTCAAAATGGT